AGAGGACTGAGGACTATAACGTCATGGACTAGAGCAGAATGAATCTACCAGGCAAGGCAAGGAATTAAACAGAGGGAGAAGGCCCAGGGATGTAGCTCAGTGGCACAAGCACAAGGTCCTGAGTTCAATTCCTGGTACCAAAAAAACAAAAACAAAAACAGAGGGAGGGAGAAAAAGGGAACCAACAGCAGGAAAATAACATGACAAAGCTAACTCAATACTTATCACTTATAACCATCAGTGTTAATGGTCTCATTTCACCAATCAAAAGAAACAGACTGGCAGAATGGATCAAGAAGCAAGATCCAACAATATGCTGCACCCAGGAAACATTTGATTTGAAAAGAAATGCACAGACTTAAAGTCAAAGGTTAGAAAATAATGCTCTGTGTGACAGGAACCTGGGAAAAGGCAAGGGTAGCCATTCTATTTCCAGACAAAGTAGACTTCAAGCCAGACTGATCAAGAAAGACACAGAGAATCACCACATGCTTATAAAGGGAACAAACCAAGAGGAAGTGATAACATCAAGAATAAACATCCACCAAACACCGGCACACCCAACTATATAAATAAATACTAACTGACATGAAAACTCAAATAAGTACTAAGACAGTTGTTATGGGGAACTCAATACCCCACTCTCACAATAGGTCAACTAAACAAAAAATCAATTAAAAATATTGGTACTGAATCAAACCTATGAAAAAATGGTCTTACTAGCTGTCTACAGAGTGTTCCACCCCACATCAGAGTATACATTCTTTACAGCTCTTTATGGGTCTTTTTCCAAAAAAGACTACATACTAGCACATAGAACATACTTAAGTAAATACAAAGGAACTGAAATTATCCCATGCGTATTGTCAGACCATAGTGCAGTGAAATTGGACATCAATGTTAAGAGAAACCCCAAGAACTTCATAAACACATGGATATTGAATAACACCCTCCTGAACAATCAATGGGTCACAGACAAAATTAGAGAAGAAATTAGACCATTTCTACAAGCAAACAATAATGCCAATACAACATACTGGAACTCATGGGATGCAGTGAAAGCAGTCCTACAAGGGAAATTTATATTGGTGAATTGTCATGTCAGAAAAACAGAGCAAGCTTAAATAAACTTACGGTTGAGGGGCTGGGGATTTAGCTCAGCGGCAAAGCGCCTGCCTGGCAAGTGCAAGGTTGTGAGTTCGGTTCCCGGTACCGGAGAAAAACCAAAAAAA